CCTCAGACGCAGATAGACCAGTATGTGGGGCTGGTGAGAACCCAAGTGAACACCATAATGGCAAAGTAAGTCCTGCTTAAAAACAAGAAATCTGATTTTTTAATGGGATAAAATCCAAAAAGCACTTTCAGTACAGAATGTGGGTCAGGAGACCGAACAGAGAGGAGGAGGAGGAGGAGACGGTCACTGGTTGAAATACGAATAGGAAAGCTCGATATGGCGTCTGTTTATGGGAAAGACCCGCCCTTCAGTAAGACGAGCCAGTCAACTTGCTGCTTAAGCTGTAAGTGGGAAATCAGGTTTTTGTGCGTTACTTGAACCAAATGCTACAAAATATTTCTATTGTTTTTGTCAGATTTTATTAGCGATTAAGCTTTTGAATCGTTCATGTGGCTTGTAGCTCCGGTTTTATACACGTCACACCACACAGAGATGGGAGTCTGGAGCCAGATTCACGAAAGTGTGTTAAGAAAGAAAATCCTTAAGAAAAGACTTTGATGTAAACATTGTTCAAGTTTCAAAAGGTTCGTATTTCAACCAGTGACCTTAAATGTGTTTTCACATTTCAGAAGATTTACACATTTACATCTCTTCATTCTCGAGAAAAAAAAAGTTATGAAAAAATGCTGTTCTTCAAATAACTTAAGAATTATCTTTCTTTTCTTAACTATTTCTTAAGAATAATTCTAAGAACAAGTGTTACTCTTGACAATTTTATGGTCTTAAGCTCTGACAGCCTCACTGGTCTCAGGCTGTAAGGTTAGATGAGGTCAACATCGAAACTTCATCCTCACCTCCTGCCTTCTGGTAAAACCCCACCATTACCAAATCTCTACGGAGGATTTATTTTACTTGTTGGGTTCTTCCTCCATCACCTCTAGTCCTCGTTTGCTGAGGTTTTTCAGTGGTTTGATGCATTTCCTCCATTTTGCTCCTCTGGGTGAATTAAATAATGGAAATAATTAATACTAATTCAAAATTCATCTCATGGCGTTTATGCTAAGCTGTTAAATGCACCACAGCCACATTCTTTTTTTAAAGAAAACCTTAAGGAACTAATTAAGATCATCTTAAGAGAATACTTGAAAAGAGTTTTTTTCGACAACTGCATTTAATAACATTCTCAAGAACCTTAACAAGTTTTTCCTTAAGAAAGGTTTTGTGCATCCTGGTCTTGTGTAACTAGAAATAACTGCTTGGCGACGTTGCCAAACTGGCTGTTGAGTGGGCAGGTTTTCCTGTAAGGACTTTGGACCGACACAAACCAAGAATACGCAAAAAATTCCTTTAATATTATCAGACATAATACACTGTAAAACAAATAAACAGATTCCAATCATTTTAAACTTTACTGACTCACTGTTTACCAGCCTGTTACAGCAGAACTGAGGAAAATCTGGTTCATAATCATTAAATTAAAAAATTCCACAGAAGTATTTTTTATATATCTCTCACATCAAAGGTGTGTTTTATTGGGAGGATTTTTGATGAAACCTGATAAATCTGCAGGACCTCCACAGGGAGAAAAAGTGCACACCTGCACCACCTGCTGGTTGGAGTCAAAACACTTTGAATCATCATTCATATCACCAAAGGAGGATTCAGAGTGTTTTGAAAGTCATTTCGTGACTGTACGAGCGCAGCAGCTACAAATACAAGGACAATTTTCGCAGAGCGACACCAGACTTCGTAGTCCAAACCATATTTATACTGTTAATAAATCACTTGGATCATTGTTACACTGTACAGCCTGTAATGTGCAGCACTTCCACTTCAACGCAGCAGGGGGCGATACAATCACTTTGCTTCCCTACAGTGGCCAGCAAATGGGTCATTCCTGGTATTTGGCGCCTCCAAAGTTTTTAAAAAAGTGTTTTTCCATTTTTTTCACATTTTAATCATGAAAGGGCCAATTTCACCCTTTTCAAAAGCCATGTTGAGGCACACATTCATCAACATTTATCAACACATTCTAATGACGTGAGGGACCCAGGATGGTTGAATTTAACAGTCTCTTTAGTAATTTAAAATATTTTTTGCTTTTTTGTTTTGGTATTTATATTAAATATCAGATATTTCATGTATTGTGTAAGTAAGACTCAATCCTATTCCTTGTTTTTACCCCTACCCCTTGTTTTCCCCTTGGAACTGAGTTACAGGGTAGTGGTTGAAATCTTCCCTCTGAAATGGGACCCTCAAATAAAAAGAGCATCACTTCATTAACAGCTACCAGCGCTGCTCTGTAGGCGACGCTGCCAGTCTGCAGTGACAGCAGAGGAGGGTAAAGTTCAGCTCCTCACTGCTGGGCTTTAGTTACATTTAGGGCATCATATGATCTTCAAAGAGGGGGGGCAATTATTTATTATCACCCACCCCTAATTCTTCAGTGATATGAAGCTGAAGTCAGATATTCACCAGATTCTTGTTCGAATTTTTCCGTTCCACCTTAAATGATGCAGCAGTTCTGGTGCCTGAGATGCCAGAATGTAACTGCTAGAGCATTTAAGGTGGAACAGGAAATTTAGCTAGCAAAATAAGTCAGCTACTAGTAGTGATTTCTTATGCTTGTTATGAAGAAAGAGACCACAATGCATTAGAACTACATTAAACTAAGATAATATAATGGTTATTGTAATTTTTTTAACAGAGAAAATGCATTTGTGGGTTCCTTTGGTCACTCACACTCCGTTTGGAGGGTCATGTAGCCCTAACACTTCGCCCTACCCCTCTATCTGAACCAGAATCGGGACACCCTACACCTAGACGTGAATGCACAAAACGGAGAGCTAGGGCTAAGTGGTAGGGGCGAGGGGTGAAATGGAATTAGGCCCAAATGTGCATGAGAGTAGTATTTAGTTTATTAGTTTTGAACGCAAACAGCAGGGGGCGATCTGACCACTCGCTTTCCCTATATCGGCCGATATAATCGGCCAGCTGATATATCGGTCAGGCCCTAGTGGGAACGCATCATCTTATTCATGCAGTTCTACAAATTCCATGTTTTCTGTCCGTGTACTGAGTGTGTTCGTGTAAAACAGAGCTCATTTTCTATCTGCAGGATAAGGGAGAAGGTTCCTGGGGCCAAAAGGAAGGACGAGTAAGCTCCTCCCACCCACCGCCAGTGAAAATACGACACTACAAGCCAGTAAAACTACAACTAATCCCAGCACTGAAGGACCCCAAGGGCCAAAATACCGCCTACGTAAAAAATAAACCAGAAAAGCTCACAAAATAGTGGCACACGTGGAAAACCTCACTGTTGTAAAATCACTGTAACCCCCAGCACTAGTAGCTACAGCGGCTAACACGCTAACTCACTAGAGCCAATCGCGACTATCGGGGGGGGGTTTAAAGCTATAGATAGAACTGAAGCTCATGAACTGCTTTTCTCTTTCATCGCTTCTGATTAAAATGCATGAAGTCCAGTCTTGAGTAAGTAAATATTCGCTCTCTCTCCACCACTCTTTTCTTTCCGCTCTTCGTTTTGCAGCGCTTCTTTCCGTCTGTAAGTAAAAATAAACGTGGCGCACACACAAAACAAAGCATCATGCCTGTCTAGTCATCTGAACTAACTGCTTAAAGTCACCACCTCACTGTTGGAGTGCTCCACTCTTGGTGTGTATATACATACATGCATATACATATTAATATATCAAGTCAAATTGTGGATTGATTTTCTTTTCTCTCTCTCTTTCTCTGTTTTATCCTCTGTGTTTTTAAAGCACAAGAATAATTTGAAGGCGTGTTCACTAAATGTCGTAAGTGTAATTTTTGCTTTTGTAAACTCTAGGGAAGTCTACACAGGCCGAAGCGTTTTAGGTTTAGCTCCGAGGCTCGGAACGATCCAGCAGACTAAAACTTGTCCAACTTTGTATTACGTTCAGTGTAGTTCTTTCAAAGTCGATGGGACTCTTTAACTATTTGCACTTATGTATTTAATTGACGAATGAGAAAAATAAATGTCCTGTAATGTAAAATGTGTTGTGGCGTCTTTCTTACAAACACTGTTAATGCTCTCTCACAGCTCTTGCTCAAAGAGAAACTTCACCAACTTTTCAACATTTCTGTATAATTAAACGGTTAAGATGTAATCAGAGTTGTTCAGAGTGGTTTGGTGTGAAACTCTCTGTTCTAGATAAATTTACCGAGTCAGATCTGTTCACAGTGGTGGTGATAGGAACCAGACGTCCACCTCTAAAAGCTCCCTCACAGAAAGTTACTACATGAAATGATTATGAATTCACTGCCTGATGACTGAGACACTGTTTTATGATAGTTTTGAAAAGAAACTTTTACTTTTAAATCCATTCATGGTGGAGGGATACATGCAGGGCGTTATAAGGCAAAACAGTCCCCCCAAAAAACTTTTTTCGTATTTTCCCCGTCATCAACATTCCATATAAACTCAGAAGACTCGTGTAGGTTCACTGGTGGTTCTGGATAGTAAATAAAACGTCTATATTTGTGTTGTAGTCATGGCGACCCCTGGTTCCTATCACCCACCACTGTAAAGACATCTGAACCATTTCACACCAAACCACTCTGAATCACTCTGATTACATCTCACACACTGAGTTATGAAGGAATTTAAAAAAAATCGGTGGATTTCCTCTTAAAGTCCTCATCACCCGCTATACGGGTTACAAGGCTCTGTGAATAACAATACTGGATTTAAACAACTAGTTTCCTGGGGGGAATGAATGAATGAATAAATAAATAAATAAATTAATTAATAAATAATCAGAGATTCTGTGAAGTTTGGATTTTTATTGTATCTCAGCTTCTCGTTTGTCATTTTACAGTTGTTTATTCAACATAAAGGGTAGTAATATAAGCTGAAGATGCTGCCATCACTGCTGCTAGTTAATAACTGCAGAGTTTGAATGAAAGAACAAAATGGGTTATAAGGTCACTTATTTATTAAATAACAAATGCTGGGGGCAGTAACTACAGAGGAACATAAAAAAGTGACATCATAAAAATAAACCTAATCAGTTCTGCAAACCTCCAATCAGAACACTGGGCTGTGGAGTACAACGCCCTAAACTACACAATTACACCGTAACAAAGAAATAAACAGTGCGAGTAACCATAGCAACCGAAGCTCTCACATATTCAGAAGAGTTACAGGATGCAGCCGAAACAGAACCCCTTTAGTTCTGTCGTTATCCTTCTGGACCACCTCCATCTGCTGGGACGGGTCAACCTAACACACACACACACACACACACACACACACACACACACACAATCAGAATACATTAACTGTGTTTAATATAAGGGGAATATAAACACTGATGAGAAAGTGTGGTACCTGATTCCACCTCTTTGGTTTGTCGTAATAAACAGGAGTGCGATCTTCTCTCGAGGGAGTTTTACAGAACAGCCTGAAGAACAAAACACAATCAGCAACACCATCTCCTGCAGACAGATGTTCTAAATCAGGCATAATATTTATTTGCCAATTTTCTTCTTGTCATTTAATTCATATATTTAATAGTCATGAATAGATTATTATAGTTAAAATTGCAGAAAAACATGTTTTTCTTCTTCAAAATATGGCCTCAGCCTTTACATATGACTGTGGGGACGAGCTCTTCTGTGGTGCCTGGAATTCTAGATGACTGATTTAAAAACCATTATTGCTAAATTGAGGCTCAAGAAGGTGTAACTGTTAAAATAACTTGTTTTATTTTAAAATATAAATAAATTGTAACCCTAAAATGTTTTTTGAAGTGTAACATATCTAAACGCTGGGGACACAAAAAAGGACGTTTCTGTAAATGACCCTTTTACAGACTTTACCTTCAGCAAATCCAATCCTCAGCGACACTGACTACAGACAATTTTATAGTGTTTATTTGGGATCTCAGTGAATCAGGGCCTGAATATTGTTCTACCAGATCAGAACTGAACTGAATTAGTGTTTCCAGCCTCATATTTCAGTCTGTTAGTTATTCTGCAGTCAGCGGTCGGTACCTGATGAGTCGATCCCGAGCGTCATCCTGCAGAGTACTGATCCGCTCTGGACCCAGGTATCTGATGCCGTTCAGACCATCGCACGCCAACCTGTTCATCGCTTCTCTCAGAGCATTTATCTATACAACAAACACACACATACATTCTGACCACATCATACACTGTAAAATCAAGCTTGCTTCTGTGGTTATGTGGCTAATGTAGCAAACAAGTGATGTACACCCATCAGCATGGTGCTAACGGCCTGACCAACTCATCACACACTGTCCTCAAACCCACGTGATGTTCAGTATCTCTAATAGACTCTAACAGAATAGTCACTAAGTGTGCACTTATATAGCGGAGGTATAAGGTGTTTCTAATAAAGTGGCCAGCGAGTGGAAGCACACGGTGGGTGTTTCTAATAAAGTGGCCAGCTAGTGGAAGCACAAGGTGGGTGTTGCTAATAAAGTGGCCAGTTAGTAGATGTTCTCTATAAACATGAAATAAAATACAAAATTCAGGATTCAAGATGGCTGCTAACGTTTAAGCTATGTGGCAAAAAATAAGGTGCTTCTATGGTTCTTTAAAGGTAAAGGCAATGGTAATAAAAGAACCATGACAACTCAATTAACCATTTAATGGTTAAACAGTTCTTCTCCATGACAGAGAACCTGTTATAAACAGTTCACTAAAGAAACAAATGGCACCAAAAAGGGTTCTGCTGTTCTTACAGAGCGTACTTTCAGAAAATGACTCCTGATAACGGAATAAAGAAGTGTGGAAAAAATACCTCTGTGATGTCCTCAACATCAAACTTCACGTCGAAGGAGAGCTCAATGTCATGCTCTGGCAGCACGGCCTCTTGGGAGTTGGAGTTTGTTCCTAGACCGCACAAAGCACCAGTAAAGCAGGTTCTCTCTTCATCAGTACTGCAGAACCGAACACACAGACACACGTGTGAGTGGTGCGGATACTACGCCCAAGTGATGCTAACAGCAATAAATCCCATTAAGAATCAACAATAGATTCAAACATTTTCCCAACACTGATAATGCAAGAAAGTATTTTCTATAACATTATTGCTGTTTTGCTTCTCAAGCTGCTGCCAGCAGCAAAGCCTTTAACTCTGAGTGGCTGATATTTCAATACACTAGGTGGCGCTGTGTTCCTAACATTCAAGACAGGGACGGAGAAGAAGTCTAGCCATTCACTCACAACAGCCAGTGGGACAGCAGAGTTAGCTAGCATTAATATTAAAAGTTTCGTGAGTTTAAGTTATGATCATAACAAAAAAGCACAAAAACACATCAGTTGAGTTTAGTTTTCGTTAATCAGAGCCACAGAATATTAATTTTGTTTCATTCAGAGTTCAAAACACTAACTAAACACATTAGGAATTATAAAAAGAGACAATCTGTACATATAGATATTTTTTAAAATAAAGTTACTAATACAAAGTGTGGCCATTAATTCACTGGACGAGTGTAGCTACAGACTGCATAAGAGAACTGCAATTTCAATATGTATCAATATAACCGCAGTACTGATACTGTGTTAGTGAAAGTGCTGGACTACGTTACCGCAACTCCATGATGGGGGTGAAGAGCATGGTGATGAGGGCGGGCAGGCCGTGGATATGAGGCATCAGGGTTGTTTCTTTAAGTAGAATACATGAACCTGTATACACACACACACACACACTTTTCACCACTTTTATCCATGTCCAGAAATCAAACTCAATATTAAATACAGTTTCCTCAAGTGCAGTTAACAGCCAAGAAGTGTTTGGTGTTTGAAGTTTCACAGAAAGCTCCTGTGTGAAGTGTTTATGAATACGCTGCCTGATGTCTGAGATGCTGTTTTACAACAGTTTTGAGAGGATTTTGGTCTAAAACGTTTTAATTCATGGGGGAGGGATACACGCTGGGTGTTGTGAGGTCCCAAAGAAAACTTATTATTTCAGATTTTCCACTATTTTCCATCATCAACATTCCATATAAACTCAGAAGACTCGTGTAGGTTCACTGGTGGTTCTGGATAGTAAATAAAATGTCTATATTTGTGTTGTAGTCATGGCGACCCCTGGTTCCTTTCACCACCACTGTAAAGACATATTTAGACTTCTGAAGAATTCCTCTTTGATTAAAAAAATAATAAAAAACGAGAGAGAAAATAAAGCTGCAGATGCTCTGCTCTGTGATAATAAAATATACCAGCCCTGCTTAAAATGTGAAAACATCTTTCCAAACTGTAAAAATATCATTTTTCTTGTGGTCAGTTCCGCCTCTGCAGCGCCCACTCTGGTTCAACTCCGCTATAGGCGCGGAGGCAAATCAATCAAACAACGTTAATGCCCCCTAATGAAAGCAGCTGGAGGTGGCTGGAGTCGGTGGCTCATACCGTTAAGGCTCAAGACACGTCACCTCATCAAAGAATGGGACGGTAGTAGAGAAAATGCTAGGTCTAAAAACACAGCAGCCCATTTTTGAGCATTTTTCAAAGTGGAGCCAGGGGTGGAGTTACTCTTTATGGGACATCTTTTATGCATCCAGAGAGAGAGAGAGAGAGAGAGAGAGAGAGAGAGAGAGAGAGAGAGAGAGAGAGAGAGAGAGAGAGAGAGAGAGAGAGAGAGAGAGAGAGACCTGATGCGTTGAGTGAAACAGATCCTGCCACCAGCATCCTCTCATGTTTGTCCTGCGGATGGTCGTTCACCAACACTGAGTTTATACTGTCCCTCTCTATGGCAACTGACCTGTTAACAAACAAACAATCAGGATGAGCCAACCTTCGTGAGCAGTGTACGGGGTGAACAGAGTTTGTTTACGTCTCACCTGCACTGTGTGACTCCACTCATGTTGTAGAAAGTGACCTTGTGGGGGCTGGAGGGGCCGTGCACCGGAACCTGCAGGAGGAGGAAAAACGACCCAGTACTACCACTACTGCAACTACTGCACACATCCCAGACCTCCGAGAACAGCTCTTCATCTGATTCCAGACGAGCCTGTCGTGTGATGATGTCGCTGACTTGCTTGTAGCATTTATGTAGCAATATTAGCATTTTGACCACCTAATAACCTTGTAAGTCATAGGCTGGATGTTAGGCCGACAGTACGTGACTGAAGTGCCCTTGAGCAAGACACCTAACCCGCATCTGCTCCCCAGGTGCCATGGATAGGGCCACGCTGCAGGTAAGTGTGCTCACTGCCCCCTAGTGTGTGTTCACTAGTGTGTATGTGGTGTTTCACTGCACGGAGGGGTCAAAATGCGGAGGTGAAATTTCCCCATTGTGGGACTAATAAGGGTCACTCAACTAACTTAACTCACTCCTTAGGTGACAAATAAGCATTACATCACAACAGCAAAGAACCTTTCTCTGGGTGGATAACCCAGACAGTGATGCACTGGTAAGTTCACACCTTTCATTGGTAAGTTTCACCTTTGCGTTCACACAGCAGGTAAAAGTGGCCCAAATCTGATTTTCTCACCAAAAAGGCTGTAAAAAGGGCGCGGCCACTTCTTTGGTTCGCGTCCTCGAATTCTTTAAACTCTGCTTTCAGACTTTTAACTGTTTTTTGACGCTGCAGCCTCGTTCTCCGACACGCTCGGACATTTCTTTCGAAATCATTTCCAACATGGAGCTGTTTGGATGAGTCTCTTCTAATTTTTTAAGTACAGAAACATCAGCCTAAATGAGTCTCAGCAGCGCGAAATTATGACGAGTGTGGAGTCACTGCCGCAGATCGGATATGTATCGGATTTCAGTATCACATATGAAAGCGTCTCAAATCGTCTCAAATCTAGCAAAAAAAAAACACAAGAAATCTGATTTTTGCAAATCGGATCCAATACACATTTGGAGGGGGTCTGAATTTCGATTCCAATCAGATTTTTACAGATGCGTCTCAGTCTGGACACTCTGGACGCTCAAAGTGTCTTTTGCGTCACTTGCAACACGCTAAACAGCGACAATGTCAAATCCAGAGTGATGAAGTGCTGGGATTCAAGAGGAGCTCCAAAGATTCATGATGATGAAGAGAGTTCTGAAGAGTCTGGAGGGGAGATGATGCTCCTCCATCTCTCCTGCATCCACGCTTCAAATCCGCATCACCAGCATAGCTACATAGTTACTGATGCCTACGTCGTTACCACGGCAACCCATGCAGACAGACTGGTGATGTCTGGACACAAAATCTGATCTTATCACTTGTAAATAACAGCGGACAGTCGGCTCAAAAGATCTGATCTGAGAAACAAATCTGATTTGTCTGCAGTCTGAACACGATTCAATGATCTTTTTGGTCATTTTGTGCAACTCTAAAGCATCTAATTTGGCTAACTAGCAACCTGAGACAACGTTCTGCGTACACACCTGGGCACATTTGCTGTTAAAGCCTCAAACAAGATTTTACTGTTTTTACTGTTTTATTTGAATTTGCTGTAAATTGTGCCGTAACGCTGAGCTGCTTCCTCGCTGATGGATGCAAGTTATCAACCCAGAAGAACAAACATTATGTTGACAAACATTCTGATTTGGTCTGGTTGGCCATTAAAGGCGCTTTTCCACTGCAAGGTACCAGCTCAGCTCAGCTCAGCTCAGCTCGGCTCGGCGTGTTTGGTTTTCCATTAGGCAAAAGTTGGTACCTGGTACCCGGTACTTTTTTGGTACCATCTCTATTGAGGTTCCAGGCGAGCTGAGCCAATAACAAAAATAATGTAAAAACACTACAGACTACTGACTGGTCAGAGAGAATGGTGACACTTTATTTTGGGTGGTCCTTTTAGATGAAACAAACACTCAACAGACTCTTAGGAACATGTCAAAAACAAATGAGGGTTAGGATTAGGTTTTGGGTTGAGGCTAAGGTCAGGGTTAAGGTCAGGGTTAAGGTGAGAGTTAGGTGTTGGGTAAAGTTGGTAAGGTTAGGTTTTGCATAATGGAAGTAACATATTAACATCTACTCAATGTAAGTAATGTATCAACAGAACATCTACAAGATATTTACTTCAGTGTATTCAGATGCTTCACTGCCGCTACTTCACTGATATATTATTGATGTGTTACTGATAATCTATTAAGAGTTTATTAATCATCTACAAAGGACCGAGAGCATCACTAAACACATATGCTAATGTTAGCATAGCCTCTTGCATGGCCTTTTTTGAGCAGCCAGAATCTCTGTAGTGGAAAAATAACTTAAGATGACACACGGCCTACTGAAGTGATAAGAATGGTGGCAAATGTTTTTTTGTTGCATTACCTTGCTCTTGGGGGCGCTGTATGTGGTTTTGGAGAAGGACAGCAGCAGAGAGTTGATGAGCTGCTTCTCCTCCTCTTTGCGGCTCTTCCAGGAGCTGCTGGTGGAGCTCGGGGTGAAGGTGCCCTTCTTCAGGTCCTGATACAGACCCACCAACACGTCATGGGACTGCTACAGGACACCGAGAGGTTTGGTCATTGATTAATTGTTATTATTATTATTATTATTACTACACAATAAAATCAACATTACAACTATTTTCCCTTTATTTTTCAGTTCTTATACTTGCAACGTCAATCTTAAGTCTTCAATTTAGCAATTTTTCCTTTATTTAATATTCTTCAACACTTTATTTCATATTTGAAAACAGCCCAATAATTTAAACTGCACCAAGAAGTTACCATATGGATTATTGATCGTTGTTATTATTATAATCAAATAGAATCTATTTTAACATTTCTAAATCGACGCAGATGAATCCCCTTCAGACTGTTCCGTATCTTCTCCCTTCTTGGTACCTGGCTCTCGAAGCTCTCGGGCGCGTAGCGGGCGTGGCCCTCCTGCACCAGGAGGTCGGCCACACTGATGTCGCCCGTTTCCATGGAGACGTGGAGGTCAACACGCATGACCCCGTGCAGGATGGAGTAGAGGGAGACGATGAGTGACCGGCCGCTGACCAGAGTGATGAAGCGGTTCCTGGCTCTGCTGCTCCACTGATCTCCCAAAATCATGGACTGGGCCGATGGAGCCAAACCTGCTACAGCAAACTCCTGGGCCTGAACACACACACACACACACACACACACACACACACACACACACACACACACCTGTTTTATACATCATCAAAACATGGTTATACATGTGCCCCATACAGGACTGACCAAAGTCAGAGACCAGCCTTTCAATGATTTCATTTCCAGTGAAAACGATCATTACATTCATTTTTCATTGTCGTCGCTGTTCAAAGAAAAAACTGTATCTACCTGGTGGTAACTTTTCAAGAAAAGACAAAAAACGTACTTTACTTTTAATTTAAGATCATGTAAAAAGGATTAATTCTAATCCATTCTGGAGCGCATCTACAGGCCCTTCTCACATTTCCGCTTTCTTTCTTCTGGAAGTTCACGCTGCAGGTGACGCTGCTTCCGCTGAAGCGACTACAGCAGCAACAATGACGAGTTGAGTGTACAGCTCAGTCAAATATTAGAGCTTGAGGTAAAACCAGCCTCATCAGTTACAGTGATTTGAGCTGAGTGTTTACAAATACAAACAATAAACCGTCTACAGTGGAGTTACGGACCCTGACGACCCCACACACCCCCTGTTGGGATGTGCGCTTTCTGTGGTGGCTGAAGTGATACGAGCGGCTGTTTTTTGAGGTTAGTAACTGTAAGGAAATAGCGGAACTTGTTTTACCCAGCGGTTACACACTTCTGTATCTTGTGAAAAGGGCCTCCTGGTCCACTTATCATGAAGAAACATGCTTCTTGTTCTCAAATAGAAATATATTGTAATCAAAAACACAGAAAACCTCAGAGATGATACCTGAAAGGGTGGAGTCAGCAGGTCAGCAGGAAGCTCTCTCAGACGGTCACACGGCACCTGAGAGGTGTTCCCAAAGTCCACGAAAAACACCTGAACACACACATACACAGAGAAAGAAGCCGAATAAGTGTGTTTGTGTGTGTAGATACTGTAAATGTAAGTACCAACATGTAACAAGAACAGTAATCAATTGTTTTAACTCTCCTGAGACCCAGAAGGATAAGCGGATGAGAAACTCTAACCCTAAACCTTAAAATTAGTCTCGTTCTTTAAGTTTTAAATAAAAAAAGAAGTGTTTCTGTAAAAAGCACTGTACGTGGTCAGCAGTGTTTTGTGAGGATGTGTATCTACACCTCTTATCCTTGATTAGAATAAACGAACCTCGGTCTCGTCAGGAAGTATTAATGCGAATCGGCATTAGCTCAGTGCTAACAAACTACTAATATCCTATAGGGACGCTAGCAGAAGTTAGCATTATGGTTGAGGTGTTTTTTTCATGTTTCGACCTTTATGGTCTACATATAAAATGATATGACAGTGTGTGTGTGTGTGTGTGCGCGTGTGTGTCACCTCCACGTTGCTGCCCAGTATGTGCAGTATCTTGGCTCTGTAGTAGCTGGCGGGTTCAGTCTGTGTGTGAGTGTCGTAAAACGGAGCGAGACACAGCAAGTTCGGGTACAGAGACACAGGCACCGGCTGCAGCTCCCGCAGGTTAATCGCTGTGGTCAACTGCCTCTGTTTCTCCATACTGACCTCATCCGCCTGGAAACCCCAGAAATGACCCACCTCCACCACCTACTCACACACACACACACACACAAGCTTAAAAAACCTGCCAAACACGGCTGTGTAACAGGGTCCAAAATCATTTCTCAATACTGATTATTATTTTCCCCCATTTATTAGTATCATTATTATGACCCACAACGAGCTCAGAGTCTCTGTGAGTTCCACACTTTCTGCAGCTGCTTGAGCCACATTAGCCTGAAGCCAGAGGGAACAAAGACACTGCCGTTTTGTGGAGGGAGAGATGCTGACGGAGGTTAAAGGATGTTTATGGATGCTGTTAAAGATTATACACATGAAAATTTAAAGATTAAAGTAGCAGCAAACAACTATTTTCTTTGTAAAGACATAGTGAAGTAACGGCATCCTGAGCAGAGAATGAAGCCACACCCCTTCTGTGTGTGTAATCTGAGGTTCTCAGCGTTTTGTTTTCATAGCCGGTCCGGCCGTGTGTGCACGTTAGTCCCGCTCTGTAAAACGTTGGCCCTCCCCAGACAGTGACCACCCACACAGCACTGTGCGTGAACCACTTAAGGTGGAACAGGAACATTCGAAAAAGAGGCTGAGGAGCTTAGATGTAGTCCAGCTGCTGCACCTTTTATATATGTGGAATTTGTCTGTACAACGTCGTCAAAGGGTTTTATGGCCACAAAAATCTTAAAAAAAATAAATAAAAAGAAAAAAAAGCGATCTTTCGCCTCGACAGTGCGCGTCCACGAATTTGGGAGGCAGAGCTTCTGAAGAAGCACTGAAGGGAGGGGTCTGTTTGTTTTGCTGTATCAACAATCGTTCTCCAGAATTGTATAGAGCGCCATTTAAGAATTTATACGCTCCAGCAGCTGGTTCTGACCTCAGTGATGTTCACAATGAAGACCTGACTCGAGGGCAGCTTCTCTGGGTCAATGCTGCTGCTCAGAACTCCAACAGGATACACAGACTGACTCTGAAAATCCACATTCACCCTGAGAGAGAGGGAGAGACAGTGTGTACAAAAATAAAAAAAGTGGCAAACCTCCCTTTACCCCTTAGAATTAAACACTGTGCCTTTTAGACCAACACACACCGATCAGGCGTAACATTATGACCACCTCTCGTTTCTCTGATACTTTGTTAGCCCCCTTTTACCCTGTTCTTCAGTGGTCAGGACCCCCATGGACCCTCACAGAGCAGGTACTATTTGGGTGGTGGATCATTCTCAGCACTGACTGGTGATGGTGATGGAAAGGTGGTGGTGTGTTAGTGTGTGTTGTGCTGGTCTGAGTGGATCAGACACAGCACTGCTGCTGGAGTTTTTAAACACTGTGTCCACTCACTGTCCACTCTATTAGACACTCCTACCTTGTCAGTCCACCTTGTAGGTGTAAAGTCAGAGACGATAGCTCATCTGCTGCTGCACAGTTTGTATTGGTCATCCTCTAGTCCTTCATCAGTGGTCACAGGATGCTGCCCACAGGACGCTGCTGGCTGGATATTTTTGGTTGGTGGACTATTCTCAGTCCAGCAGTGACACTGAGGTGTTTAAAAACTCCAGCAGCACTGCTGTGTCTGATCCACTCAGACCAACGCAACACACACTAACACACCACCACCACGTCAGTGTTACTGCAGTGCTGAGAATGATCCACCACCCAAATAGTACCTGCTCTGTGAGGGTCCATGGGGGTCCTGACCACTGAAGAACAGGGTAACAGAGTATGCAGAGAAACAGATGGACTACAGTCTGTAACTGCAGAACTACAAAGTGCACCTATATAGTAAGTGGAGCTGATAAAATGGACATTGAGCATAGAAACAAGGAGGTGGTCAGAATGTTATGCCTGATCGGTGTATTTAGGAGGTATTATGGTAATGTTCTTTATTAATATCATCCAGCTTTTATCAAAATCTGACTCGACTCTGGTCCCCTGACCCTAACTGTCATTGTGCACTCTTGCAAAGGTTGCTTTAGTTGTACTTGCCTCTTTTTTTTTTGTTTGTTGGGCGTTTTCTATATTTTTATGTGACACTTGTTAAAATAACCCCTGTAAGTGAAAACTCACTTGGCTAACAGATCGATTATAAACCTGACAGACTGACGGAGTGAGTGTACCGCGCGTATTTGAGGTGTGAGATGGTCTTCCCCCCGGCCCGAGCCTCCACCTCCTCCGCTGGATGGACCTGCAGGTAGAGGGGAAGCCTCTGCTGGGCCAGGAGCAGAGACAGAGAAACTTCTGGAAGAACACCAGAACCCCTCAGCGACGAGCGGTAGAACTCCACATACGCCCTGAAACACACAATAACCGGCACACTCACACACACACTTCAGTAAACTGGATAAATTAAAGAGCCCATATCAAGGAAAAACAAACTTCTGGTAAAATGGACTGGTAAGTTGCAACTTCTCAAAACTTATCAATCCATTTCCCAGCCAACAGCGTCCAAACGCTGAAACTAAACTGCAAAAACAGCCGGTTCTGAATTCGCTGTTTTTGTGATGTCACGAAAACCAACAAAGTTCCGAATTACAACCCCATTTCCAAAAAAGTTGGGATGCCGTGCATAATGTGAATGAAAACAAAACGCAATGATGTGCAAATCATTTATAGCCTACAGTTATTTGAAAGTAGTACAAAGAAAATAGAGGTGCAAAAACTGAAAAATTTTATTGTTTTTTGAAAAATATATAACCATTTTGAATTTGATGGCAGCCACACATTCCAAAAAAGTTGGGACGGGGGCCTGTTTACCACTGTGTTTCATCACCTCTTCTTTTAACAACACTCTGTAAGCGTTTGGGAACTGAGGAGACACTGCTGTAGTTTAGGAAAATTAAATGTTTTCCATTCTTTCTTGATATAGGATTTCAGCTGCTCAATAGTTCTGGGTCCCTTTATTATATTTCTTGTTTCATAACTGTGCCAAATATTATCAGTGGTGACAGGTCTTGGCTGCAGGCAGGGCAGTTTAGCACCCAGACTCTTTTAATATGGAGCTATGCTGTTGTGATACATGCAGAATGTGGTTTAACATTGTCGTGCTGAAATAATCAAGGCCTTCCCTGAAAAAGACGTCGTCTGGATGGCAGCATATGTTGCCAAAACCTGTATATATTACTCAGCATTAATGGTGCCTTCACAGATGAGCACGTCACCCATGCCATGTGCACTAATGCCTCCCTATACTGACATGAATACTGGCTTTTGAACTGTGCACTGATAACAAGCTGAGTGGTCTTTAGCCTGGAGGACAGTGTCCATGATTTCCAAAAAGAATTTCAGATGGTGATTTGTCGGACCACAGGACACTTTTCCACTTCCTCTCAGTCCATTTTAAATGAGCTCAGGCCCAGAAAAAGTGGCGGCGTTTCTGGATCCTGTTTACATTTGGTTTCTTCTTTGCTTTTTTAGAGATTTAACTTGCATTTGTGGATGCAGTGATGAACTGTTTTCACAGACAGTGTTTTTCAGAAGTGTTTCTGAGCCCATGCAGTGATTTCCACTACAGAATCATGTCTGTTTTTAATGCAGTGCTGTCTGAGGGCCCAAAGATCACGGCCAGCAAATACTGGTTTTTGGCCTTGACCCTCACATACAGAGATTTCTCCAGATTCTCTGAATCTTTTAATGATATTATGTACCGTAGATGATGAAAAGCAGAAGTTCTTTGCTATTTTATGTTGAGGAACGTTCTTCTTGAATTGTTGCACTATTTGATGGTGCAGTCTTTCACAGAGTGGAGAACCCCTCCTCACCTTTACTTCTGAGAGACTCCGCCTCTCTGAGATGCTCTTTATACTCAATCATGTTACTGACCTGTTGCCAATTAACCCTCAGTTGTCTTTTAGCATTACACAACTTTATCAGTCTTCTGTTGTCTCCGTCCCAACTTTTTTGGAACGTGTTGTTGCCATTAATATTGATATATTGTGTTTGTACTATTTTCAAATAAATATTGAGTTTAAATGATTTGAACATCATTGCATTTTGCTTTCATTTACATTTTGCACAGCGTCCCAACTTTTTTGGAAATGGGGTTGTACCTTTTCAGCCTAGAGCAGTTTAGCTCTGTCCATTCAGGCTGTAGTTATAAGGAATGCTTTAGCACCAGACTGCTTTTTGAATAAGGACAGGGGCGAATCAGAACAGAGCACATTTACATATACTCGTCTTAAAGGCACAGTAACCAAAGCAGCCTGTTTGATTTAATTAAGGGATGAAGAGCGGCTGGAAAATTGTCATGTAAAAATTATTTTTGGCATATAAAAACAACAGAGTATACGGGTCCTTTACCCTTCATATCCCATTTCTCATTTTTACCCCTACCCCTTGTTTTCGACTGTTGCCCCTTGGGACACACAAAATGGAGGGGTAGGGCTAAGTGGTAGGGGCGAGGGGTGAAAGGCTTCACTTTAAGCTTTACTGAGAAATCCTGCTTTATAAATGAGCCCAAGAGCTGCTCCTGTCCACCTGAGTTTACCTGGAGCCATCGAAGGAGATGGACTTAACCTGCCCACACTGCCGGAAGAGGGACTGCAGCTGCTTATAGTAGAGGAACGCAAATGGAGGCAGGTTCCGCACCTGAGAGAGAGAGAGAGAGAGAGAGAGAGAGAGAGAGAGAGAGAGAGAGAGAGAAAGAAAGAAAGAAAGAAAGAAAGAAAGAAAGAAAGAAAGACAGTCAGACAGAGAGAGGAGAGATACAGAAAGAAACAGATAAAGAAAAACAGAACAGGTCAGAGAAAGATAAATAAATTAAAATAGAAAAAAAAAGAGAGGGAAGAGAAAGATAGAAAGAAAAAGACAGAGGAAGATAAATAGATAGAAAGAAAAAGAAGTGAAAAAAGAAAGAAACGAAGAATAAAAAGAAAAGAACAAAAAAAAGAGGAACACAGAAAGAAAGAACACATACAGAAAGAGGAAAAAAGGGCAGAGATGGACAGAAACAGAAAGAAAGAAAGAGAGAAAGAAAGAAAGAAAGAAAAAGAACAGTAGATCAGTGAACAGACACAGTAAAACAGACAGAGATAGAACAGTTGGAAAATGATGGAAAATGCCTGTAATGTTTATTATCAGTGGTAAAAACCTGGTGATGTCAGTATCGTTATTGTTTCATCACTCCGGCCAAAACAAAGCTATTAAAAGAGCTAATTTGTCTCTGAAATGGGTTTTGAACATATTCAGTGCACATATGAACGTGTTGTACCAGTACGGTGGTCCTGGGGTCGTTTCCGGCGAGATCTTTAGAGGCGAGCTCCTCATCTATCGCCCCCTGGATGAAGTAGTTTGGGTAGAAAGCTCCTGCGATCACCACCTGCGCAGAGGAACGTTAATTAGGGCTCTTCAGACACCAAACGTGACTACATTTGGACTAAGGGGGGTGGAAGAGCTGTGTACCTGCAGTATGAACTTCTGTTTGTGCAGGCTGGTGTAGTCTAATGGAGATGAACTCTCTGTGATGTCCATGTTGAACTGAGACACTCTCTTCTTCAAATCCTCAAACAGCTCAGCCACCTGTCTCACACACACACACACACACACACACACACACACACACACCTCTGAAATTTGTTTTAACCCTCTACTGCATGAATTACACAAACATGAGAACAATATCTTTTTTTAATTGCTGAAATAATGGAAATATTTGAAAAAAAATGATCTAAGTGAGGTATTTGGTAAATTGTTGCCATATGGCAACAATGTGCGATCATACCATAGCACTATAAAATCTAAAAAAAGCACCATAAAATCTAATTTCTTTAAAAACATCCTTTATAAAAACAAGAACAAACAAATCCAACTTATAGCTAATGAAATGTACAACCCAATGTTTACAAATATTGGAAATAAATACAATTTCAAGTGGTATTTGGAATGTATGGTAATAACATCACCATAATAAGAATCCATGGTCATGTGATGTCATGAAGTATTTGTCTTTTTAAAGTATTTGTCTTTTTAAAGTAAAAGACCTTTTTTTTTCCACAATTTAATAGGAAAAACACAGATTTTATGTCACTGCTTTTTAGTAAAACTGAGATGTAGTAATTGTTGTCATATGGAGACACTGTGCAATAGGGGGTTAAAAAAGTATATAATAAAAATTATATCATCACTGTCCAAAGAAAAACAAGCATATCCAAAATGGTAACTTTGCGAGAGGACAAAAACGCTCTTTACTTTCAACGTAAGTTCATGTAGAGATTTTATTTCAAGCAATTTTAGAGCATTTCTATTGGTCCATTCATCACGGAATTTTCACAAAATGCAAATAGGAGCCTCAGCGCTCAAATGATGTAGAAGGAAAAAAATGAACTGAAAATGACACAGAAGCCTCAACAACTAAATCTAATATCAGCTGTTTTAGAGTGTTCAGTGCGTCACTCTTCACCTTTATTACAGCTTCCAAGCGCATTTATTACAAAATAGTAACAGAGTAAACAGTAAAAGTAAACATAAATACAAGTTGTGCTACGTTCACATTACCAGGCTGAAGTGGCACAAAAAATCCGATCTTGTGCTCTAATGTGACTCAGATCTGATGTTTACATGCAAATCTGATCTTTTCACATCTGACCTGAGCCACTTTCATATGTGGTCCTAGATCGGATACGTATCTGATTTGTGGCCATGTGACCTTAATGTGATGCTCAGATCAGAATTCATGTGCTTTTTTTCCACTGCGCTGCGCCATCATTCAGCGATACCATGGCAGCAGCGCCGAACAGAAGTTAAAGCCTGTAAACGGTGGAAAAGCAGCTCATCTCAGCTTTTTCTCCTTCGTCTCGCTCTAATAATGAAGCTGAGAGCTGATCAGAGTTAATGATCTTCTCAGCGAAGCTCGTTCTGCTCGTTAGTTTGTGCTGATGATGATCGTGATTCATTCACGTGACGTTACTGAGTAGGATGAGCTCATGAGGGTCATTTCAGGACGCCGGTTCGTCACATTAATGACAGATCTGAATCACTTACCTAAACGAGTGTGAACCAACCTGTCAGAGAGATCGGATTTGAGCAGCAAGGCTTGTAATGTGAACATCACCTTAAAGTACCATGAATGTCTTAATTTCAATAAAGAAGCTGATATATTGTGATAGCTAGAACAAAGCTTGTGTCCAGATTTCTCCTGGATGCCTCCAAACATCACACGGACTGATTAAATTCCATCAGCAGCTTTAATTTAATGAAGTATTGATTAGAAAAAGCACATATCGAATGATAACTACAATGAATACTGGGCTTCTTCAAAGGTGATTTATCCACAGTTCTCCTGTGAGGAGAAAGGATGTTACTGGTATCACTGATGTTGGCATTAGTGCTGTGTTTTGTTTACTTTACATTTAACACACTTTTGTAATAAACAAATTCTCTGGGAAGCAGCTGGAAAAATCCTCAGAGCCGTCAGTGGAACTAACAATACTGAAAAGCTGTATTTGAAGAGGAGAACTACAGCTGTCACAGCGACAGTGCGCTAGCAGGGCTAAAGACTGGAAGACAGATCAAAGAGTCAAAATAGGAAAAGGTTAAAAAAAAAGGGCAAAAAGTGCAGCTTATAATTTATCACATTAACATATTATTAGGTTAGTAGCAAGTTGTGACTAATGAACCATTTTAGTGTATTCAGGACACTGAAATGATTATTTCACAAAAGCAGTGCAAAAAAATATATAATTTCTGAATATAAACCACTCTGCACATAAATAAATGTAATTTTCATTAAAATTTTAGTTCATTCTAGCAATCAAAAGTAGCCAAATTATCAAAAATCAAATCAATGAAATCAGATCATAAGTCAAATTCTACCACACTACAGTCCTATTGGGAAAAAAAGCAGAGAAAAAAAACAGACCAAGAATGATGTGCTTTTACTGTGGTGTTAATTGGTTAACTGTATTGGTTTTAAATGAGAAAACAAATATCAGATCATACTGTATTGGTAAATAAAAATAAATTGGTAAATTATATATATATATATATATATATATATATATATACATAATATATATATATAATATATATATATATATATATATATATATAGTCAACATAAACAGGACGATGGACGCTCTTTACCTCTCTGATCCGCTTAATCTGAATGCAGTTCTCTTTTCCCCACTCCAGCTCATCCTGGAACACACAAACACAAGAATGAACTGTGGAGCGTTCACACCTGTCAGAGTGAACCGGACTAAAGAGAAACGGTTCGACTGATTCACATCAAACAAGACAGGTGTGAAAGTCCCACTACACTGAGCTGAACAATCTGATCTAACATCAAAGACATGCCTGACTGAGAAAGACAGGTCAGAGTAGTGGTTTCACACTCTCACCTTTGGGTGCCTGAACTCTCCTTTCGCTCTGGAGGTGTACCAGGCCTGCACACACACACGCACACACACGCACACACACACAAAAGCATGTTATAAGAAGTCAGATGCACCAGAATGAATATTCTTCGGCAAAAAAACAAAGAAAAACAACAAAAAAGTCCACAATGTTGAAAAAATTAAAAAATCATATATATATATATATATATATATATATATATATATATATATATATATATATATATATATATACACACATACACAAAAATATGTATATATAATAATTAACAAAGTTACTATAATAAATGTAAACAAATAAATAAACCCCCAGTCGGGCGATCACGCCACACTACGCCAGTAAGAGTCACTGCTGTTCGAGACTCCTAACGCTGAATCCACCGACTTCTGTAACGTGTTTACGGTTTGGCAGCTCACAGTTCGGCTCCTGGTGCTCGTTATGTGACTCGAAACTTGTCTCTCCAAGTGAGCTGCCTACCGACAGCACTGTCAGTGCCTCCAGCAAACTCTCCACGACCTCTGACCTCACTCAACCGGTAAGAAAAAGCAAAAGATCAATTCAGTGCCATGCGCCTGTCACCCGGGCCCCGATGACTGACACAAGAGCCGGTAGGAAGGCGGGGCCAAACCCCAAGCAAGGACAACATGCCGTGAGGACGGTGAGGAGAGAAGGAGAACCACGAGGTACTTGTGGACGGTGCACGAGTCCTGAGCCTTGCCTCCTGGGCACCATCTCCAGTCCAACAGCGAGACCACTTTCCTTTGCTTCACATTCAACTCCGGTGGCTGGGCAGTGGAGCACAGGCGGTGGCAGGAAGGTCGGGCAACAAGCTCACTCCCTCTCTCAGGTCTGACGCTCATGCTGTCTTAATGAGAGCCAGCTGAGGCACCTTTAAAAAGAGCAGAAGAGAGAGGAGACAGACGAGCAGCAGCAGACTGAAGAGCTGGAAAGCTCAACTTTGAGAAAAGGACTGAAAAGTCCAGTAGCCACGGAAAAAAGGTCAACTGGTTTTGTTTGCATTTTTTGTTTGGCATGAAAATAGTTTGAAATGGCTGCTGCAGATGTTTCTCCTGCCTCCAGCGTCCCTCCTGTGCCTGGCGCAGCACACAGCGTCCTACAAATTCATTTTATTACAATAGTTCCTTTTCACAGTTTCAATTTCACAGCCTTTCAGGTTTATTTACATGCTCCCATTTCAAAGCGAGTGATTCTCAACACTGTTAAACGTGCTGGAGTGTGAATTTGTAAGCGCACCACATTTCAGCGCACATGGGCTGTGAAAGAGGTATGAAGAAACCAAGGCAGAACTTCGTTGAGTGAGGCACAGTTCACTGCCATTACGACAGACAGCCAGACGTCTCAAGTAGCTCTTCTCAGTAAAAGGCAACCGTCACTAGATTTATTTCACCAGACGTTTACATTTTCCTTTCTGTTTTGCAAACATTTTGCAAAAGAGAAACTTTTAAAATCAGTGCATTCTCTTCAGGAAAGACCTCTGGTTTGCACATCTTTCACAAAACGTGCCATTTTTAAAAAAAAAAATCTGAGGCTCAAATTTGAGTTACATTCTTGATACAAACCGAACCGTAACCCAGAAACAGACCTGAACCGAACTGTGGAAAGGGGGACGGTTATACCTCTAATACACGTACATAAAGAAATCATGAAAAGAGGAGCATTCAGACCTTGAAGGCGTTGACGAAGGCGATGCAGTCACTGGGAACGCCCTGAGCAAACGCCAGCTTACTCCTGCAAGAGCATCACACCGAGATACGTTACTACAACCTACACCTGTCTGGACGACTTACTCAGAGGAAATGTTCTGGGGGAAACTAAACTCACCTGTAACCGGCAAGCTGCTGCAGAGACGGCATCGCAAAGAAACTCTTCAGAGACAGAGATGCAGCTGAAAGAGAGAAATGGACCAAAATTATTTGGGAAAAAAGTGTGGTTCCATTGACTTACATTAAAAGTAAAGTATGTTTTTCCTTCTCCTGTAAAGTTCTTATTTTGGAGATACGAGGTTTTGATGCAACATCAACACAGTTTTGTCTTTACAGAGAAAACCACCTTTGTCATTTTAATATGCTACTTTATTTATTTGTACTTTTTTTCTCAGCAGTGTGCCACCCTAAAGAAACCTCTGGGTCTGACTGGCCACCCAAATCACAGCTACACGCCTTCTTCCGTTCCTTGTTAGCTATATTAGGTTCACAGCTCCGTGTCAAACGTCTTAGTTAAAGACGGTAAACTGGGTGACGTATTCGCTCTAATGCAGTCAGTGCGCTACCGATGATGAGGCACTCCTCCAGACAGCCGAACACGTTTCCGAGGACGATCATCTTCCCCAGGTGCAGATCCACCGGCAGGTGAGCAAGAACCTGACCCAGAAACGTCAACACGCCGTCAAAGCGCTTCTGAGAGCTGCTGCTCGCTGAGAGAGCACCCATCTGTACCCACACACACACACACACACACACACACACACACACACACCACTGCTTATATAATACACATGCAAAAGTTTAAAACACAAACACATCCTTTACAGAGACAAAATATTGCACATTTTAATACATGCTGTTCATTTACTGAGTTTAACTTAAATACATAAATCAAATCAAATTTATTTGTATAGCGCTTTTTACAACTGATGTTGTCACAAAGCAGCTTCACAGAAATCCGTTTAGAACAAAGTTTCAACATGAAATGTAAATCCTCCAGGTGAGCAAGCCAGGGGCGACAGTGGCAAGGAAAAACTCCCTCAGTTGAGGAAGAAACCTTGGGAGGAACCAAGGCTCACATGGGGGGACCCATCCTCCTCTGGTCAAACTACGTACAAAATTATTATTCTACTAATATTAATACTAATAGCAGTAATAGTTAGGAGACTTCAGTGTAGAGTGGGCAGCCAGTCCAAGGCAGGTGGCGGTGACTGGGTTGTGGGTAACTGGTCTGAAGCGGGTAGCCGGAGAGCTCTACAAACAATCATCCAGCAGTGTCCGGCCGGACAGGTGAGCAGCACATATGTGCTGAACTTTTGCACAGGCCACAGTTTAGGTTTTATTTGTTCCCCCGATACGTTAAATCCAGAAAATAAACAGTAACTGTGCATTAAAGGGCCCATATCCTCATTTTTTATTGCATTTTATTTTTTTTAGATTCATGCATGACATTTGTGCCGTTCTATGTACCAAAAACATAATTTATTTCTTAATTCATTTCTGCATCACAGCCCAGCCTCTCTTTATCCGAGTCATTCTATGGAAACGTCCATTTTTGTGTCCCTAGCGTTTACAGATACATTACACTTAAACATGTTAAGGGTTACAATTTATTCAAATTTTAAAATAATACAATAGGTTATTTTAACAATTACACCTTCCTGAGCCGTCAATTTAGCAATACTGGTTTATAAATTAACTATCTAGAATTCCCAGCACCACAGAAGAGCTCGTCTTCACAGTCATGTGTAAAGGCTCAGGCCGTATTTTAAAGAAGAAAAAAAAACACAAAAAAACACGTTTTTCTGCAATTTTAACTACAATAATCTATACATGACTATGGAATATATAAATTAAATAACAAAGAAAACAAATATTATAAAATATCCAATGAAAGTTGTCCCCAGGAGTCGTGTCACTGGTGTTACTGCGTAACAAAAAATCTCTTATTTTGAAATAAAAGTCACACTGATGACGTCACTCGACTTCCTTTTACCTGTTTTCTGAGGATCTATGAAGAAAAGCACATGGTGAGTCCACTGTGTCTTTCAGTTATCAGAGATTTTCTCATTTAGCTCATGATTTCATATGAAGCTTTTAGCTGAAGTCACTGGTGTGACCGACTTTATTCTGAGGTCATTGTGAAAAAACAGAATACAAATAGATTAAATTCCATATTTTAGTGGATATTCCATGATTGACATCATGTGGTTTGATGCTCTGTAGCAGGTATTTTGTAAAATGTATTTTTCTTTAAAATGTCTCTGGTGTTCCTTTATTATGTGTAACACCAATGAGGATCAGTAACACCAGTGACTCCTAAATGAGCTCTGTTCTGATTGGCTACACTGTATTGCACCTCACTGATAAAGCAGCCCAGGCTGAAACACTCCTTATAACTTCAGCATGAATGGGTGGGGCTAAACTGCTGTAGTCTGGATGGGCGGGGCTCATCCATCTGAACAATGTCTTGATTTTAAATAATTATATTAATTTAAAACCGGCTGTTTTTGCAGGTTATTTTTGCGGTATGTGGACTGTAGAGACTGGAGAGTGAACAGTATGTATTAAACTGCCACAATAAACTCTTAAATTATTTAATTTAAAAAAGCAAATCAGGTTAATTTAAGATAATCCTGACGGCATAAACACAGAAAATAACACACAGGAGCAGATAAGACGACCACGTACATTAAAGCATAAGAAAATTTTTAAAAATGAAATAAAAGTATTCTCAGGAAGTTGACCCCTGACCTCTTTGAGCTGCAGGATGGTCCTCTCGATGTCGCTGAGGTTCGGGGGGGTGAGGGCGGTGGACAGCAGTGAGCGAGGGTCACCCATGTCCAGCAGCTTCACCTTCAGAACGATACTGGCCAACGGAGAACACTGAGAGAGAAAGAAATCAACCAGGATCGATTCTGATTCCGATTTAGTTTGATTATTTTAGTCTGATTCAGAGTAAATCCAGATCTCTCACCAGCATCTCCGGCACGGAGTAATCCGGAATCTCTTTATTCCAGAAATCTCTGGTTACCAAACGATAACAGAACCCCTTAGAAACTCTACCAGCACGACCTGAGAGAGAGAGGGAGAGGGAGAGAGAGAGAAGGATAGAGAGAGAAAGAAAGATAGATAGATAGAAACAGACAAACAGCCAGAAAGAGAGAGAGAGAGAAAGATGGCGAGAGAGAGGAGAAAGAAAGAGATAAAACGAAGATAGAAAAAGATAAATAGACAGAAAAGGACAGAGAGAGAACGACAAATAGATCCAGATAGATAAAAAGAAAGAAAATGAGAAGAGAAAGATAGATAGAAAGAAAGAACAAGAGAGAGGGTGAACAAAAAATTAAAGAGACAAAGAGAAAGGAAAAAAGAAAAAGATCACAGAATGACAAAGAAATGAATAAAAAGAAGGGAGAAAGAAAAACAGCAAAAGAGGAACAGACAGAAAGACAGAAACAAAGAAGACAGAAATGGACAAAAAGAAAGAAAAAAAAGAAAGGAAAAAGAAGAGAGACAGAAAAAAGTGAAAGAAAGAGTGAAAGAGAAAAGAAAAGAAAGAGTGAAAGAAAGAACAGTGGATCAGTGAGCTTACTTATACATGAACAGTCAGACTAACAGACTTAAATCAGCTTTAATAGAATTAAATTATGAAGTAGTTCTAAAATGACTTCATTAATGTAATGAAATGATGAATTATTCGTTCTGCACCTCGGCGCTGGTTGCAGTTGGTTTTGGATGCCCAGGTGAGACGGAGAGACTGGTAGTTCGTCTCTTTATCACAGACCAGGTGACGCGCCAAACAGAAATCAATCACTGTTACACACACACACACGCACACACACGCACACACACGCACACGCACACACGCACACACACGCACACGCACACAGTTTAAACTGTGGTTTCCATAATTACACTAAAAATCTTTATTTTCATTCTTTTAAAATATCTACACCGACCGGCCACTTCACTAAAACCACCTCCTTTTAAAACACTGTGTCCACTCACTGTCCACTCTATTAGACACTCCTACCTTGTCAGTCCACCTTGTAGATGTAAAGTCAGAGACGATAGCTCATCTGCTGCTGCACACACACTAACACACAACCACCACGTCAGTGTCACTGCAGTGCTGAGAATGATCCACCACCCAAATAGTACCTGCTCTGTGAGGGTCCATGGGGGTCCTGACCACTGAAGAACAGGGTAACAAAGTATGCAGGAGTCTGTAGAACTACAGAGTGAAACTATATGGTCAGTGGAGCTGATTGGATGGACAGTGAGTGTAGAAACAAGGAGGTGGACTTAATGCAGTGGCCAGTCAGTGTTTAACTCTGCTTATAACACACCGTATTTAACGTCCGGCACTGTGACTGAGCTCTCTGCAATATTAGTGGACAGGATGACCTGTAAACAAACACACAGTCTGTCAGAAGTCTGGACTTTTCACTTCTTTTAGTTTTACTATGTTACTAAGGGAATTTCCAAAAAAGTTTTGTTTTTTGTTTAGTACTGTAGATATTTAAACATGGATTAAGTGAAACCGATGCAAAGAACTGCTCTTATGAAGCATCAAAAGCTATTCGAGTGCTAACAGCGCCCCCTTGTGGAGAATCATCAGCTTACTAAACAAGAATGAGTTAGTTACAAACAATTTTAATGAAGTGCTTTGCAAAAAAATTTTGCACTAGATCAATTTCCATGCAGAAAAGAAAGACAGAAAACCAAAGGAACAAGAGGAACAGAGACAGAGTGTCAGTTACCTTCCTGTATCCAGGCACGGGAACCAAGAAGACTCCGTTTTGCTCCTCCAGAGTCACTGTGGAGTGCAGCGGGTAAACCTGCAGCCTACAGACAGAAAAACACAGGCCCTGCCCCAACTGGGAAAAGCACAGACCTCATCCCAACTGGAAAAAACACAGGCCTCATCCCAACTGGGAAAAACACAGGCCTCATCCCAATTGGGAAAAGCACAGACCTCATCCCAACTGGGAAAAGCACAGACCTCATCCCAATTCAGAAAAGCACAGGCCTCATCCCAACTGGGAAAAACACAGGCCTCATCCCAATTCGGAAAAAACACAGGCCTCGTCCCAATTCAGAGGTGAAATTTCCCCCGTTGTGGGACTAATAAGGGTCACTTAACAGACCTTGTCCCGATTCGGAAAAAAACAGACCTCGTCTAGATTCGGAAAAACATGGGCCTCGTCCCAATTAAAAAAAAAACAAAAAAAACACAGGCCTCGTCCCGATTCGGAAGAACGCAGCGGGCTCAGCTTCAGCTGAAATTTCAAACTGCATGGAGCTGTTAAACAACGTGAAACAGAGCTGCTGATGTGGTTTCTGACATTAAAACGGACTAAAGCCTGTTAGCTTAACTAAAACAGAAGCAGCCCTGAAGCCTGAATTCTGTCTGTACATCAGTCTGTATTTACAGTGAGTCATACAGTCAGAAACCACATCATCAAGTCTATTAGAGACACTGAACAGCTCCACACAGTTTGATGTGTGTGATGATTTAAATATGCTGTTAGCACCATGCTAACTGATGTACATAAGCTTGTTAGCTACCTTAGCCTTGTGGCTCCAGTACATTTGCGTGTGCTCACCTTTTGCGGACGAGTTTGGAGAGAGCCTCCTGCATGTAGTGAATCTCCGCCAGTCCGGGCAGAAACACCAGCACGCTGCCCCTCTCCGGCAGGGACGGCCCCCCACCCTGCTCCGCACGACTGGAACACAAACAATTCTCAATCTGTAATCTGTAATAATCAAATACTCATGCAAACATGTATTCATGTTGTAAGCTGTGCAGATTCAGTAGTTCTTTTACAGTATCCTGTGGTGGACAGTAACGAAGTAAATGTAATTCATTACTGTACTTAAGTAGTTTTTTCGTGTATCTGTACTTTACTGAAGTTTTTCCATTTTGGGTGACTTTTTACTTTCACTCACCTACATTTCAAAGTCAAATATCTCACTTTTTACTCCACCACATTATGAGAAATCTGTCGTTCCTTTTGGTTTATGTGTGTATAAAAACATAACATGTCAAAACGAAAGAAGCGCAAAGCAAAAAAACACCAATCAGGGCACAGCGGTCACTTAGTTTTGAGCTTTGTTTTGATCATACCAACTCAGTGGGACTTTGTGTAAACAGACCACAATATAGAAATATGTACACATATGCAGTTGTGACTGACGTGTCTTTTTTCTGAATTTATACAAACATTAAACTAGCCTAAAATTAGTTTAGGCTAGTTTATGTTTATGAACAGAGACCTACAGATGCAGTTTAGTAAAGGAAACTCATTTGTGAATCTGAGTTTAAAGTTTTTATTAAACTTAAACTTGTAACTAAGTTGAAATAAATCTTAAACTGAAACTTTGCTTGTTTGTAAAAAGTGATTTCAGAGCCACTCAGTTCTACCTGATGGAAACTGTTTGCCTTCAGTGTTTTGTGCTTATGATAATTTTAATAGACATCAGCGTCACTAATTAATAACATTCTATTAAAAGACTGGTTTACCAAGAGAGACACTGGAGTATTTTCACCTAAAATGAGTTAATGAAGTGAGTCTTGTTACAAAAATGATAACAGGACATTAAAGTCATAATTAATCTTTTAGTACTTTCACTTTTGATACTTACATTACATTTGAAGGCAACTACTTTTGTACTTTTACTCAAGTGGAGGTCTAAAAGGAGGATCTACTTTCAGTGGAGTAATATTTTACCTTGGGTATCTCTGCTTTAACTCAAGTACATGGTTTGTGCACTTCGTCCACCACTGATCATAAATGAGGTGCTACAATTAAAAACAGCTTCTCTTAAAGCGCAGTAGACTGTGATTTAGAACACATTAGATTACAATATCAGTATCAGGAGAGAGAAAGTGGCACTGCGTCGCCTCCAGGTGTGACCGTAAACTCTGACCTCTGATCTTTGGCCTCCATCTCATCAAAGCTCTGGATGAGGCTGACGGCAACGTTATACATCTCTACAGTAATGTAGGGGTCGTCAGGGTGAGGGGGGTCCACCTGAAATACATACACACACAGTGCATCAGCCTCATTGAGGTCAATAAGTTACATCACAATATCTACATTTAGAGTCAGTTATTCATTCAACCTAATGAGAAACTGTAGAACAGACTCAGTTTATATCACAATATCTACATTTAGAGTCGGTTATTCATTCAGCCTAATGAGAAACTGTAGAACAGACTCAGTTTATATCACAATACCTACATTTAGAGTCGGTTATTCATTCAGCCTAATGAGAAACTGTAGAACAGACTCAGTTTATATCACAATACCTACATTCAGAGTCGGTTATTCATTCAGCCTAATGAGAAACTGTAGAACAGACTCAGTTTATATCACAATACCTACATTTAGAGTCGGTTATTCATTCAACCTAATGAGAAACTGTAGAACAGATTCAGTTTATATCTGTAGAACAGACTCAGTTTATATCACAATACCTACATTTACCTACATTTTTTACTGGCGCTCTTTAAAGCTTCAACTTCTCAAAAGTAGCTATGAAAGAACACATTTGGGGGCAGAACTTGCTTCCCCTAGCCTCTCTCTCTCTATGGCGGTGGTCTTAAGACATGCCCACTCACTCTGAAGGGCAGGATGTTCCTGAGGTTGTCCAGATAAAACTCCTCCACAGCGTACGGCGCTCCCTCCACCTCAAACACGTACGCTGGGTTCATTTGAGAACGCACAGGCGTTCCGAAATATTCCGCAAACTCCGCACAGTTTATTGTAGCGGACATCAGGATTACCTAGAGAGAGAGAGAGAGAGAGAGAGAGAGAGAGAGAGAGAGAGAGAGAGAGAGAGAGAGAGAGAGAGAGAGAGAGAGAATGTTTTCTTTAGCTGTTTTATAAAAAATTGACATTTTTTGTTTTGCCTCTTCAATTTATTTAAAACGTACTTTTGTGCTTACTAATCGTATCTTCCTTTTTTATTACAACTCACTCATTTCTTAGTTTGCTGTTTTTCTAAGTGTGTTATAGAAATAAAATTCCTATAATTGTTTTAACTAGAGAGTGATCAATTCTCTGCTTCAACCTAGCAGTGAATTAATTTTAATATACAAAAGAAAGGTGAGGTAATGTCATAGCCCCAAACTAACACACTAACCGTGAGGTGTGTGTGTGTGTGTGTGTGTGTATGTATATGGTGTGTGTTTTCCACTATAAGTGCGCTGGACTGTTTGGGTGCCACTACATCCCAGCTATTATGAAGCCGGGGCTGGCTGCTTGATTGACGCTGCACTGCAGCTGTAGGGCTGCCTGGACCTGCAGTGTTCGGCTGCATGAGCAGCGCTACACCGCAGCTACGAGGCCTCTTGGGTCGGCCGCCTGGGTGACGCTGCATTGCGGCTATGAGGCTGCTGGACTGGTGGTGTTTGGCTGCAGGAAAATGCTGCCCCTTCGTGGCGAAGGACATCTTCAGCCTTCGAGGCTTCCCGGGCCTTCCTGTGTGATGTACTGTAGTTGTGGTGTGAGACCTCCCCCGCCGCTAAGGGTCTTTCCAGGCTAGCTAAGTGACTCTATACTGTGCTCAGTGAAATTCCCTCCGCTAGCTGTGGGAACCGTGGAGTGTGTGTGTGTGTGTGTGTGTGTGTGTTCTGTGTTCTGTATTGTTGATTATGTATTGACTGTAAAGCGTCCTTGAGCATGGAAAGGCGCTATATAAATAAAAGTGATGATGATGATGAAGCTGTGTGACAAATCACAAGCAACTTAAATTGCTTCAGTCTGTTGAATGTATCGTTTGATACCCGTCTGGACTGAATCAACAGCCTCGTCCAGAACGAAAAACATGCTGTACTGTTATATAAATATAATATGCTGGATGTACCTTGATGTAGCGTGAGTTGGACTGCAGTAGCTTTCTCACCACCAACAGCAGAAAGTCCAGTTCCTCAGTCCTCTCATGTACCTGAAACAGGAATTATTTCTGTAATCAATCAGCCTTTTATATCATATCGCCCCCTACACTTCCTGTAGTGTATTACAGTCTGTCAGAATGCATTACCTCATCTATAAAGATGTGTGTGAACTCATTCAGGCTTTTTGCTCGCACCAGTTTCTGCAGCAGAACTCCGGTGGTCATGTAGATCAGCCGAGTGTGTTCTGTCGCCATCTTCTCCAAACCGACCTACAAGTAATCAAGCTTGTTTAAAGAAAATGAGGCAGACTGTGATTATATATATATGTGACATAAAAAACACCTTGTGTATGACATCTTTTTATACATTACTATACACTGTTATTAAACATTTCCAATTCAATTTTTTTAATACTTCCCAGTTTTAAATGTTTATAGCGATAAAGATAAAAGATGTGAAAGGCAAGGACAGAGGAGGGCAGTATGGCAAAAAATGTAATATCTTGACACTTCAATAAGTTTTCACAATACACCATGTCACTATATTTTTTTCTGATATGTATTAAGTCAAAAATTAAATTAAAATGTGTGCCATATTAAAAATATATTATCAAAAACTATGAATCAAATTATTTGTTTTGTACATTTAACATAATGCTTGGTTCTAAATCCAGTTAAACATGACTGACATAAATAAGCATATTGTGATAAACTGTGAGGCTGTAATTTATCATGATAATGATAAATATTGTCATATTGTCCAGCTCTAGGAGAGAATATGGGGTACATGACATTCCAAATTTACAACATTGCATTAACTTGTATTATGTCACTGACTGCTTTTAATTGCCAAATATTTACAAAAAAGAAACCCAAATTTAAAAAATATGAACCAAATCTGAATATACCTTTATCTTTAACTAACATAAGATTTACCCTTTATTTGTAACTCAGACAAAACATCGTTGCATCTGAAACCAATTTTTTTGGACCAAAAACTTTGCCATTTTCACTCTTTTGCCAAAAAAGCTGAAAGTCATTTTCGACACCTTTCAAAGTCCGAAATTCGGGTGTATTATCACCTGATACCCCACCAGGCTGCCCAGTGTGCACTTGCGCTCACGTGCGACCCAGCGGGCGATGCTGGACGCTCCGATCTTTCTCGGCTGAGTGACCACCAGGTTACAGTGGGCGTTCTTCTCACTGTAATAATCCAGAATGAACTGAGGGAGCTGTGTTGTTTTCCCGCTGCCTGTCGCTCCGCGGATTATCACCACTGAGTTATTCTCGATCAGAGAGATCAGCTGGACACAAACACAGTCAGTTAAGCAAGTAAACAGTCAGTGGAACACCAGGATAATTAAGGCTGAGACAGACACACTGTGAACAGAGAAGCATTTGACTTTTCTACTGGCAACAACACCACAAGTTTGTATTCCTACATAATTAATATGCATAATAAAATGGAACAAGGACTCGGGTCAAGTCTGTTCGCGCACCGGTGCTCCGAAATCAAATATTCTGGTGGCATTTTAACACATTTTTGCTCACACCCTACACTACTGTAGAACAACTGCACTGATACGCTCAGTTCTCCAGCATTGAGAGTGTATGTTTAATATCAAAAGAGCACAATGTGAAGTTTTCAGTGCTTTAAAAATCATATCCACTGTTTTCAAATGTAAAAATCACCCAAGAGTGAGACGTCCTCACAATGACTAAACATTCAACTAAAAGTAAGAATGAAAACACAGTTTCTGAAGGTGTTCGGTGAGTTTACACCAGTCGTCAGCAACATGTGGCTCTTTTACTGCCCTGTTGAGTCTCCACAGCTGAATCAGATTAGTAGGTAAAAATAAAATAATCCTCCTTTACAGTAAAATAAAGCTCTGCTGATCGTTCAACACAGTTTAACAATAAATGGCCTTAAACTCTGGAGTTAATGTAGAACTGCTGATTCACCCTTTAACCCTGAAGATCAGCGCAGACTGCTGGTCAGACAACAGTCTCGCCGAGCTAGTAGCTAAAGAAACGACAAAGAGACAGATTTAAGATGGACATCGATAATTTGGAGATGAATGGGCTTATTTGCATTTATAATCACTCCAGCTGGTTTCCTGTTATGTTTAATCTGCAACGAGAAACTGAAACCCTAAAAAGTCGTGATGCTTAAGTCAGTTTCTCATTCGCCAACTTCTTGCTCAATTTTTCCCGTTCCACCTTAAATGGTGCAGCAGTTAAATTCTGGCGCATCAGGTACCATTTAAGGTGGAACGTGAAAATTCAAACAAGAAGCTGGCGAATGAGAAGCGACTTCAGCCTTGTAAAAAGTCAAACGTTGAGAGTTTTACAAGAAACTGTTCTACTTTTGCGGAAAAGTTTCCTGCTGGAGATGCGAGAAAAGCAGCTACAGCTAAGCTAAAGCTTAAAAGTGCATTGCAAGTCTGCATTTCTGTTTATATCATATTGTTTGCCTATATTAGAACATCAGGACATACTGAGACATATTTACAGCCAAGATGGTAAAACGTTACTTCAATAAAATGGACATGAAATATTGTGGCTCCCAGGGTGGTTTGATTTTTGTTGAAAGAACAAAACGGCATTTGGGTTGCGACCCCTCGTATCCCCTGTATAGCTCACAGGGAGTGTAAAACCAGGACTGGAGTTCAGGACCATGGACTGGAGCGCGTAAGGTTTAACACTTAAGCTAGATGTCCTTTATACATTACATGTGCTGCATTTGTGTGTTTATCTGTACTGTCTCTGATAAATAAACAAAATAACAGATTATAAAAAGAGAATAAATTCTGCTTATTGATTTCATGTTATTGATAAATCAGTAAGTGATCCCAGACTCAGTATAACAAAACCCTCAGTGAAAGAGTATGCCGTGTGTGTGTGTGTGTGTGCATGTATTCACCTCCTGTCTGTTTTTGGTGATGGGGAGGGCTGGATATTTGTAGCTGGCCAGAGGAGGAGGAGGAGGAGAGGTCCCTGGACCTAGAGATCAAAGGTCAAATCAAGCACAGTCCCAGTGAGCATATGATGAATGTTTGATGAGGGGCAGTATGGTGGCTCCGCCCACATTTTAACTGCGGTGACCTTCACAAGGAAGAAACTGTTAAAGCTATTTACAAAATGGAAATTTACAAAACCGGCATAATTAAACACAAGCTTATTATACTTTAACCCTCTGGGGTCCGTCGACCCGCCTGCGCATCAAATTCTCTGTGTCTGTATCTTTGTGATGATCCAGCTCAGAAATCCAGTTCAAACACTTCCTGAATCTGTAGAGTCGCCCTTTCCATTCCATCTTATCACGAGATCATACGAGACTCACATCCGGAGTTATGAGCCTATGAAGAGGGGCTGAGATACACGTCATCTGCCTCTCACCGTGTGGAGCTGGTGGATTGGTGTGTCCGTCTACATTCTGTGTGAAACTGACCAATGGACACTCAGGAAATCACTAAGGACTGACCATCACGCTGGAAGCCCTTCGTTCTTCATTCAGTCCACATCGGAGACTCATGTGAAACGGCGTGCAGAGAGTTTACAGCTGCTGAAGCTGCTGCAGCGGTTTCTCATCATACAGAGAGCTGAGACTGTTCTATATAATTCGATATGAAACATAAGAGTATCGAGTCGAATCATAGAGGAAATGCCCTTGGACCCCAGAGGGTTAATTAAACTATTAATAAAATGAAAGCTAGCAGTGAAAATGTGCTTGATAATGATAATAAAAACAAAAGACATTTTCAAAAACAGGAAAATTAAATCAAAACTATAATGTTCACTGCAAAACGAACTAAAACAAAACAGAATTACTGAGTGTGAAGGAAAGTTCACTAAACTAAAACTACTACTTTTCAGAAAATACAAACAAAACTATTATAAACTACTATGCTAATGTACTATTAAGTCTAACTAAAACTAAAATTAAAATCCAAAATGAAAAACTAACAAAAAAATTATTAAGGAAAATATCAAATCAACAATAACTGTGGGCAAACCAAGTCAGCTTTGTGTTTGGTGAGAGAACTGCTTATGTAAGTGTGACCCAAGATTAGGACCACCTATATTACAAAGAAGAAGGAGAATTTTGGTGAAGTACATGGGACGTTTATTAGACGCTGGAATGTTATTCACAGGTCGTACTAGGGCCCATCCCATTTCTTATTTTTACCCCTACCCCTTGTTTTCAAGTGTTGCCCCTTGGAACTGAGTTACAGGGTAGTGGTTGAAATCTTCCCTCTGAAATGGGACCCTCAAATAAAAAGAGCATCACTTCATTAACAGCTACCAGCGCTGCTCTGTAGGCGACGCTGCCAGTCTGCAGTGACAGCAGAGGAGGGTAAAGTTCAGCTCCTCACTGCTGGGCTTTAGTTACATTTAGGGCATCATATGATCTTCAAAGAGGGGGGCAATTATTTATTATCACCCACCTCTAATTCTTCAGTGATATGAAGCTGAAGTCAGATATTTGCAGATTCTTGTTTGAATTTTCCCGTTCCACCTTAAATGTGCAGCAGTTACATTCTGGCGCTTCAGGCGTCAGAACTGCAGGACTATTTACATTAGCAAACTATTATTTTTTTGTTATGCTTGTTGTGAAGAAAACAACCAAAATACACTGAAACGACATTAAACTAAGATAATAAGATGCTTATTGTAATTTTTTAACAGAGAAAATTCTCACATTTGTGGGTTTCTTTGGTCTCTTGTTCTCCATCTTGCCAGTTTTCCTTTTTTCCCCTCATATCTCTCTGTTTGGAGTCTCTGAAAAACCTCTGTTTGGAGGGTCATGTAGCCCCAACACTTCACACTACCCCTCTATCTCAACAAGAATTGGGACACCCTACCCCTAGACGAGAACATGCAAAACAGAGAGCTAAGGGCTAAGTGGTAGGGGTGGAGGGTGAAATGGGACAGGGGCCTTTGTGTGTTCAGAGCAACATTAAACTACTTACACAAAAGTCACAGGTTTAGGTTCCCTAAGCTGCTGTGCTGTGGTGTAATAAACAGAGCTGTGGATGTAAAAGTGTCTCACCGGTGAGGAGTTCACTCCTCCTGCTCTTCTCTCCTCCCTCTGCTCCGTCCTTCACCACACTGCTCACATCAGGACTGGAAAAACATCAGAAGATGTTCAGAAATGGTCAAAGATCATTAGGTTCTAATGGAAGATTACAGGAAAACAAGAATGTAATCTTTTAAATGGCAATTAAACGATAAAAGCTCCTTCACAGAAAGTTTTTACATTAAATGGTTATGAATTCACTGCCTGATGACTGAGACATTGTTTAAAAAGATTTAATAAATAAATATATCACAATATGTTTTTCTGAGCACAGCGTGGATACCGTCAGTACTTCTGTAACACTGACTCACTGCACATTTCATTCCAAACTGATCAGAATTGGCCCTATTTAACTGGATTTGGTGCGACGGTATATAAAACGCTGAACAATAAAAATAATTTGTACTTTATTTTTAATAGCACTTTTTAAATGTGGTACTACTGGCTCTTTTTCCTCCTGTTCCAAATGTTGTAACTTATCATGCATAATGACCATTTCTTGAAGCATCATGATCATTTTTTTGCCATATCGCCCACCTCTACTAAAATGTATTATTTTTAAATCCATTCATGGTGGAGGGATACACGCAGGGCGCTGTGAGGCAAAATAGTCCCCAAAGAAAACTTATTATTTCAGATTTTCCACTATTTTCCATCATCAACATTCCATATAAACTCAGAAGACTCGTGTAGGTTCACTGGTGGTTCTGGATAGTAAATGAAATGTCTATATTTGTGTTGTAGTCATGGCGACCCCTGGTTCCTATCACCACCACTGTAAAGACATCTTTTTTGTTTTAAACCACAGCCCGTTAGAGGTTCTGTAGTTATTTGTGTGAATCAATAATATGTAACACCCAGAAAATGTACAAGCAAATTCTACATTACCTAACCCTCCTATTATCTTCAACTTCACTAACATCTTTATCCTCTGGGTTAATTTGACCCTAAGAATTATTTACAGGAACTTCCAGAAAATAACTGTAATTAAACTGTTCCCCAAGTTTGTGTGTGAGGAACTTTGTTTCTTTGCAATAAAAAACTCACCCCAAATAAGACAGGAGGGCTAATTCAACCAACTATTCAGACTTTCTGGGTAATAAAAAATTCTAACGGCGGCATTGCAATTTACATATTCATGCATATTCATGAAGCCTGGCATTCCTAATGAGCGTAAAGGTGCAGGGATGTTCCCATGGCATTTGTAATGGTTTCTCAAGTGTAAAAAAGAAAACATAAAAAATATTTAACAGCCAATTATTCTGCACAGATTATATGCACTGATTTAAACATCCTTAAGCGAACTTTGGGTGTTTCGAGTTCGCTCTCTTGCTAATTGAGACGCCATGGTTCCCATCGTTCTCCAGCGGTGTTCAACCAGCTGGCAAGCTAACAGTGCTAACGTTATTTCTAAAGTAGCTTGCTTGCTAGCTCCCACTGCACTAACGCTACGAATTTCAATCTGCTTTAACTCGTTATCTCATTTTTTAATCTTAAATGTGAATTAAAGTTGTGAGTTGGAGCAAAAATGCGCTAAATTTTGCGGGAAATAGCTGAAACTGATAGCTTAGCTAAGTTAGCCTTAGCAGACAGTCGACGTTACAGATCAATAAAATGAATAATAGGTATTACATCTCATTTTTGCACAGTTGATTTATTTATATTATTAACACATGACGTGTATACAGAAACAAACCATTGACTGATTAAATATATATATAAAAAAATCGAATTCGAATGTCCCGTTCCACCTTAAATGATGCAGCAGCTGCGCTCCGTTCTGGCGCCTGACAGCACTGCTGAGTGTTCCATTTAAGGTGGAACGGAAAATTCGAGTAAGAAGACGTCGAATAAAAACCCAACTTTAGTTTCATCTCTGCGTGTGTCTTAAAATAGTTTTCCATCAATATTTACAGCAATATTTACTTTTCAAGCAGAAAATTTACCAGATTACAACGCACTAAAGTTTGTTTGGCAAACTGGGAGCAACACGATATGCGCACAATTCTTTGCTGACATTAAACATTATATGTATTTATGCAAACGAGCGATTAACTAATAAAATATATATATTTTTAATCTCATCTTCTTATAGGAGTTTCTCGTTCCACCTTAAATGGTGCATCAGCTGTAGGCGGCAGAACGTATCTGCTGCGTCATTTAAGGTGGAACGGAAAACTTAAAAAAACTCAAGGTGGCGAAAAAAGACCAACTTCAGCTCGTTTCATTTGGTCGTGTAGGTGCTTTAAGTGGTTTTTCACTGATCTGCAGTAATACTGAACCTTCCTTTAGATCATTTCAGCACAAACAGGTTAAGTTTGCTAGTCAAACTGAGCGCAAACCACGTGTTAGCACTAGTTACCCGGGCTGAACCGCATCCAGAACTAATTATATAATAAAACATAAATAAAAAAGAGTTTTATACTGAGGTCTCACCCTGATCCCTGACCGAGAGGATCAGCTCTGCTCTCCTTTTTAGGCTCATCAGTGATTCTCACGTTGGCGAACTGGGCTCCAATGGTGAACCACTGGGTGATCTGCTCTGCTGTGATGGCCTGTTTCATCACCGCTCACAACAAACTCCAGGAGTTAAAAGAAATAAAGGAATAAAACCAAAAAAACATCAACCAGCTAATGAGCCAAACGCTATCCAGCAGGCCTCCTGCTCTCTTTCACGTCGTCGCCAATAACCTGTGTCTGACCTCTAAGACACTGATTTGTGGGGAAACAACGTAGTGCAAAAACTGCATTGGTTTAACTTTCTGAAGGGAGGGAAATCAATCAATCAATAAATAAATAAATATAGACTCCAAAAGTCAGTATGTACTTTTACATAGTTGACCTAAGATTAAATAACACTTTTCCCTTATGATTCCTCTGATTTTCCTTTTTTTATCCTGTTTTATAGTCGCTCCGCATCTGTAAAACAGCTCCTCACAGAACCATTTTTTATATAAAACAATATTTTTTAAGAGGTTTAACTGAGGAATTTGAATAAAACAGATTCATGTTTACTTTTTATATAATTAACGTTATACTACATTTAAAAAATGTGTATTATATTTAAAAATTCATTCGTCACAGAGATTTTGGTCAGTTTTATCAGGACTCTTATTTTACATTTTAACACAGTATTTTCAGCTCTATTAAACTCTCTTTGGGTCGAGGCTCATCAGAGAGGAAGAGTCTCAAGGCCTGAGAAGGCGAGTCACACTTCTCACTATATTTCATCAATTTATTAATAATTTTGTTTATCAGGCAGCACAAAACTCCTATGTGTCACATATGTTTTGTGCTTTAATGGCTGGATAATTAAAATTTTGTCTAAATAATGCCAAATATCATTTTTATTACTGATTTTAAACAGTTGCACAAGGTCACCTGACCAACAATGAGTCAGCCAATTTACAAAATCCTCAGTTTTACCCAGAATGTCACTGGAGTTACACCACATTCATACAACACCAGTGACTGTAGAATATGTTTGGAATTCAGCTCTCCAGTCTGAATATATAATAGGAGATGTTGATGGACATATTAAGATTTTGTTTTGAGATTAAAGAAATTGATTTTTAAAAAATGTATCCACCTGAGTTCCCACTCCAAATGGACAATGACCCATATACATATATACACACACACACACACACACACATACACATATATATATATATATATATTTGGTCATTCTCATTTTAGATGCTGAAAAAGTAATGAAATGTAACTGATTCTCACTGATTCCTCAAAATATATAGACATTTTATTTACTATCCCAAACCACCAGTGAACCTACACTCATGTAAAATCTAGCTTTCTGTGAAGGAGCTTTTAGAGGTGGACGTCCGGTTCCTATCACCACCACTGTGAACAATTCTGACCCTAAGTTTCTCTAGAACTGAGTATTAACCATCAAACCATTTGAATAACTTTACATATTAACCATTTAATTATAAATTAAATAATTACATCCCCCTTTAATTTCAGTAGTCTCCATCTTGGTTAACACAAGCACACACTCCTGGATTAGCAAATGCCTTTATTCTTAAAACAGTGAGAAAAATATTTCATTGGCTACATGTCCTTTTCACAAGTATTCAGACAAGAAAACACAAAAAAGTAGACAGAAAGTTCACTGAAGGCACAAAAAACAGGACAGTAAATCACAGGAAAAACAAGCAGAAAAGAAATACACGGAAAAAAACTTTAAGATGGACAAAATATTCAAAATACAGCCTAAAAATCAGCCCCCTGCAAATTACCTGTGTAATCCTCATACTGTGCAGTAGAAAAAGTGAATTTACCATTTCATCCGATTTACATCAATCGTGTTCAGAAGCAAATTTTAAAACTGAGGTTTGTCAAGAACACATTTTGTAAAGTGTATTTGGGTGGAAAAAAGCACCAATATGAAGTGATAAGTTCACTTTTTACTTTTTTGTCAGAAAGCCAATCATATCACAGATGGCGAGTTAGTCACTTTCAGTTAAATACACCGATCAGGCATAACATTATGACCACCTCCTTGTTTCTACGCTCATTGTCCATTTTATCAGCTCCACTTACTAAATAGGTGCACTTTGTAGTTCTACAGATACAGACTGTAGTCCATCTGTTTCTCTGATACTTTGTTAGCCTCCTTTTACCCTGTTCTTCAGTGGTCAGGACCCCCATGGACCCTCACAGAGCAGGTACTATTTGGGTGGTGGATCATTCTCAGCACTGCAGTAACACTGACGTGGTGGTGTTAGTGTGTGTTGCGCTGGTCTGAGTGGATCAGACACAGCAGTGCTGCTGGGGTTTTTAAACACCTCAGTGTCACTGCTGGACTGAGAATAGTCCACCAACCAAAAACATCAAGTCAGCAGCGTCCTGTGACCACTGATGAAGGACTAGAGGATGACCAACACAAACTGTGCAGCAGCAGATGAGCTATCGTCTCTGACTTTACATCTACAAGGTGGACCAACAAGGAAGGAGTGTCTAATAGAATGGACAGTGAGTGGACACAGTGTTTAAAAACTCCAGCAGCACTGCTGTGTCTGATCCACTTGTGCCAGCACAACACACACTAACACACCACCACCACGTCAGTGTTACTGCAGTGCTGAGAATGACCCACCACCCTAATAGTACCTGCTCTGTGAGGGTCCATGGGGGTCATGACCACTGAAGAACAGGGTAAAAGGGGGCTAACAAAGTATCAGAGAAACAGATGGACTACAGTCTGTAACTGTAGAACTACAAAGTGCACCTATATAGTAAGTGGAGCTGATAAAATGGACATTGAGCGTAGAAACAAGGAGGTGGTCAGAATGTTATGCCGGATCAGTTTATGTTTAAAAAGCTGGTGAATTCTGAGTGAAATGCAGCACCACTAAGTTCCAGACAAACAATATTTACAAACAAAACTTTATCTGGTCGATTACAGACATGAGTTTTAATAGAACAATCTACTTCTGATGTGTGTAAATGCACAACAGATGATATACAACAGTTCATGTTTCCTAAATTTTAATAGAAATCACATTGCCTCATCATTTCCTACTTTAAGAAGAAAAAACAGCATCCACACTCACGCAATCACTTCACAGGACGGTAAATGGTTTGTGTTTCCCTGCTCAGGTAAAACAGCTTTCATGAAGAAAGCGTGTACCTGTTTAACGCTGTTTGACATGTCAGCTATAGAGCTTTGTAGATCCTGGGCAAGTAAAAGTGTAAACTTGCATTGTATATATAACAGCTATTTAGGATGCGTGTCCCTGAATACTTCCTGCAATCAGACTGGCCGGCTGGAGACTCCTGAAATGTTCAGCTTGAAGAGGTCTGGTAGGCTGCGCTCGGAGATTCAAGATTTAGGAGGTGCTTTTATGCCGTAGCTTCTCGTTTTCCTGTAAAAACACACAAGAAAGAAAGTCAAATGAAATGAATAACTCACTCTAAATGTGGGAGTTGTGCGCCGTTTCACAACAGCAGCTATGAAGGAACACATTTGTGGTCGGAGCCTGAAGGGAGTTTTTAGGAATTCGCCAGAACTAATGACCCGTAATCCGCCACGGTTTAAAAAGGGGCCAATTGACTCTGCTGATGGTTGATGTTACCTCAGACATGCAAAACAAATCCATCAACGTGAAGCTCACCTCCTGCAGTTTGGTGATCTCTTTTTTCAGGCGGACCATGTACTCGATCTTCTGTTTGTGGTTCTGGTGGCCGAGCAGTTTGCCATTTTCCTCCGCCAGGTGATCCACCTGCTTCCTCAAAACCTCCACCTCCTGCAAGCAAGTACAACAGGAACTCTCACATGAATGGCCGCTCCTTTGCGGTCCCATTAAAACACCCTCTGCTTTTCTCCTCTATCCCTCCATCCCAGCTCACCTGCAGGAGAGCCTCCTGCTCTTGGTCTTTCAGCCTCAGTTCTCGGAGCTCCAGGCAGCGGTTCCTCAGCTCAGAGGTCAGCTCCTGCACACACGTCTGAGACTGGGCCAGCGTTACCTCCTTATTCTGCAGACTGACCATCACAGACACATACAGACACACTAATCAATCCTCAAAATACATCACCAAAAAAATAATAAAAAAAGTTCAAAATGAATGAGCATTGAATTGAATTTGTACTGAACATGTAATTTTTCTCTTACGTCTTCTGAGCTTCAACCAGCTGCTGCATCAGAGCATTCTGGGTAAGAACAAGAGCAAAAGAGACGTAATTCAAACAATTAAAAGCCCAAACAAAGCTGTACATTTTTAAAATTCTTTTCCATTTAAACTTGTAAATGTTTAAACGAAGATGAAGAGCCTCACCTTTGCACTCCTCTCTTCTCGTAACTCCCGAAGAACCGACTGATGAATGACCTCCTTGAGGTTTCTACAAACAAAACAGAGGCACAAACACCAGTCAGTGTGACAAGCATCACATACATCTCAGCATGAATGAGAGTCACGCACACATACAAACATACGTACACCGATCAGGCATAACATGATGACCACCTCCTTGTTTCTACGCTCATTGTCCATTTTATCAGCTCCACTTACTATATAGGTGCACTTTGTAGTTCTACAGTTACAGACTGTAGTCCATCTGTTTCTCTGATACTTTGTTAGCCCCCTTTTACCCTGTTCTTCAGTGGTCATGACCCCCATGGACCCTCACAGAGCAGGTACTATTAGGGTGGTGGGTCATTCTCAGCACTGCAGTAACACTGACGTGGTGGTGGTGTGTTAGTGTGTGTTGCGCTGGTCTGAGTGGATCAGACACAGCAGTGCTGCTGGAGGTTTTAAACACCTCAGTGTCACTGCTGGACTGAGAATAGTCCACCAACCAAAAATATCCAGCCAACAGCATCCTGTGGGCAGCGTCCTGTGACCACTGATGAAGGACTAGAGGATGACCAACACAAACTGTGCAGCAGCAGATGAGCTATCGTCTCTGACTTTTATATACACACACACACACACACACACACACACAAAACGGATAGTTCTGGTCCTAAAATCTGATTGGCTGAGCCGTGTTCGAAGCCACTGTAAAATCCACAATACACACACACCTAAGATAAAGTAAGAA